GATCCCAGCGCTTGGGAGGCTAAAAACAGGAGAATCACTGCGAGTCCAAACTATGTAGTGAGACCCTGTACGCCCTGTACTAAATAGAAAAAAAAAAAAAAAAAAGATTGATCTAGTATATGTCCTCTACATTTTTTGTTAAAATTACTCCTAGAACTGGGCACAGTGGTGCACACCTGTAATCCCAGCATTTTGGGAAATTGAGGCAGGAGGATCACAAGTTCAAGTCTCACCTGGGCAATTTAACAAGACAGTGTTTCACATTAAAAAATAAAGGGGTGCAGATAGAGTTCAGAGGCAGAGCACCATTGGGTTTGGTTCCCAGTACCACAAAAAAGTTACTCTGGAGCATTTTATGTTCCTGTTGCTTTTATGAATGAGATGCTTCTTTCTATTAATTTTCTAAAAGTATAGCTATAAAAAACTCTTGTTTATATTTGTGCTAACTATTATGTCTCGTCACCCCCTCTCTTCCAGAGGTCAGCTGTGTTGGCTGTGAACATGGTCTCCATGTTGATATCACTTGCTGTCTTCTTTTCCAAACCATCATCAATTTACTTCCAACCCTAAATTTGAACATTTACACGCCACTATCATCTTTTCTCATATTCTGTATAAGGCCTGTATTATTATTCATTCCATCAATTTTTTAAAAAATTGACTCATTAAAAATAAATTTGAGCTGAGCACAATGTTGCCCAAATGTATTCCCAGCAATTCCTGAGGCTAAGACAGAACTGCTTGAGTCCAGGGGCTTAAGACCAACCGGGGCAACATGCCAAGACCCCATCTCAAAAGTACATAAATAAGCCAGACATGGTGGCATGTGCCTGTAATCCCAGCACTCTGGGAGGCTGAGGCAGGAGGACCACAAGTTTGAGTCTAGCCTGCAAACCCTGTCTCTAAATAAATACATAAAGACAAGGATGTAACTCAGTACAAAGGCCGAAAGCAAAAACATTTAGCCTTAACTTGTGCAGTAACATCCATGAAATAACAAGTAGCCCAGTGTGCTGGTTATACTTTTTCTATTAGGAAATATATATATATATATATATATATATATATATATATATATATATATATATATATATTTTTAAAAAACAAAGTTTTAAAAAATGCTTTCCATACCACTTTTTAAAAAAATCGCTTGCATCTTCTACCACATTTAGGAAACTGTTCTAGCAGGTAACAACGCTTCCACTGCTTTCACATTCTGCATTCTTTTCAGAGTCCCGCCAAGCTCCCTTTCTTGTCATTTCACCGATGGATGGCTGTGGCTCCATACTCCAACCTCTTCTACGACCAATGCTGCTCCTTCATCCCTGTCCCACTGATGTTTCATTTTGGCCTCATCTTGCAGCTGTCCCTTGCCCTCCATTCTTCCAAAAGGCCTCCCTGTACTCCTTTGGCAGTGGACAGCCTCCCTGCAGGCTTCCTGGGGACCCCTCCGAGGACCAGCATCACACTGTAAGGCCCATCTTTCTGAACAAGCACTCCTCGCTGCCACCACTTAAATGCATTCCCAGAATCCCTCTCACCTGCTTTTTCATCAGTAATTGTGCTCTGACCTTGGGACTTTCCCTGCCCTCTTCTGCACCAAATCCTCTGTTTCTTTTTTGTGGTGCTGGAGATTAAAAACCTCCTGCCTGCTAGGAACGCTCCACCACCGGGTTACGTCCCCAGGCCTCTTACCTGTCCTTTAGGCTCATGTTCCCAGGAAGCCTTCTAGGAGGCCCGCAGCCCTCTCCCTCTTAGTTCTGCAGCACTGTCTGTCAGGGAGGCTGGGCTTGCAGGGTTTCCTCTCCCTGTGCTGACTATAAGTACTGATGACAAACTTCACTTCTGAACTCTTTCTGCAGCAGGGCAGTGCCAAGAACACATCAGATGCTCAATAAACAGTGACCCACTGCATGGTCACATACGCCAAGACTTCCCTCAAACCCCGCCTCTCCCTGTGACGGGCCTTCTCTGCACACCCCTCCCTGCCACCTCACAGAGGCAAGACAGGAAAGAGAAGCAAGAGTAAAAGGAGAGTGGGGGTTGGGGGAGAACACACCCGGAAATATAAGCAGCCAGCTCTAGGATCATTAGTTTTTTAATATATTATTCTGAAAAGAAAGGAATTAAAAAAAAGTTCCTGACAGCTCTTCTGTTTTTTTTTTTTTTTAATTTAAATAAATACCCTGCCTATCCCCCCACCCACTAGAATTTCCCTCCATCCCCACATCCCGCCCATCCCTGGCGCTAGACCCTGACCCTAGAACTAAAGAAGATGCCTGTTTCAGAGCAGGCCTCACTCACTACCAAATTCTGGCAAAATTGTAAATACTGTACTGTAAAGAGTTGGTGGCCCTGGGTGGCCCGAGCCCCTCCCGGCTCCCTCTGCTCCCCGGATGAACATCTCCCTCGCTGTGGGGCAGGCGTGGATGGCGGGCCCTCTGGCATCGGCAAAGGGGAGAGGGCAAGCTTGGCCTTGATCTCCACTCCCCACTCAGGAGTGGGTCAGAAGGGCCCAGAACTGCCCTCCAAACTAAAATAAATAACAAAATAAATACCCCTCCCCGAATCCCGGCTCTCAGTCGAAGAGCTACTTTCCCACTGGCTCTAGTCCCTCTTCCACCTGACCCACCCATCTGACCCTTCCCTCTTTCCCCTGCCCACTGCCACCTCTGCCCTGCCCTTTGTCCTCTCAGGAGGAGGGATTTATCATGATTGGACCCCCAACAAGCAAACCCCATCTCCCTCCTCCTCAAATATCTTGGGGTGCTATGGCACCCCAAGCCCGGATGGACCTGGCAGGCTCCCTGGCCCCGGGGGGCGGGGAGGGGGTCTACAAGGGTGGAGGGCCGGGCTTTCCCTGGCTCTCTCACCTAGTCCTTCAGTCTGTCGGGCCAGCCAGGCCGGCCCGTCCCCTCCCAGTCCAGGTACCCGGGCCGGCCCGCCCCCTCAGATGGCCGTGTCCCACAGGACCGTGTGCTGCCGGCGGCAGGGTGGGGTGCCAGACTTGCGGGGCTCGGGGCCCCGCCGCCAGCTGGGGAGGATGGGCATGCTCTCCTGCTTGCAGAGGCCGCGGTCCGGGCGGTGGCGCGCCTTGATCTCCTTGCACACACAGCGCTTACGCTCGATCACCTCTAGCAGCTTCCCATCGCGCTCGCGGGCTGGCGGAGGCGGCAAGGGCAGCGGCAGCGGCAGCGCAGGGTGGGTCTGGAGACGGGAAAGATGAGGGGTCAAGGACCTCAGGCCTAGCTTAGCATCGTCCCTCAGAAACAAGCCCTTTCGTCCCCCTTAGCCGTGAGTGGGCATGGGACAGAGGTCCAGCCCCTTGTGTCCTTTTCCTATCCCAGCGCTTGCGTGCCAGGCTGAGCCTGTTTTGCCCTGAGGAAGGGCAGGCAATAAGATAATTAAAAATCATCTTCCCCTGACATGTATTTTTCTAAGTGGTCCCCCAGGGGTCTTTTTAAAACAAGTTATCAAAGGTGCACTGCTGTTGGCTAGCAGTGGCCTTGGCTGATCTCCAAGCTGGGCCTCCTTCCCTAGCTTTTCTGCTTCTGTTTTGGATTGAACCAGGGCTTTGGCTCCGAGCTGTATCTCCAATCCTTTTCTCTTTCTTCTTTTTTTTTGTTGGAACTGGGGATTGAACTTAGACCCTTGCACTTGCCAGGCAAGCCCTTACTCTACTGAGCCATCTCCCCAGACCCCAAGAGTGCTGAGATTCCAGGTGTGCACCACCATGGTAAGCCTTTTTTTTTTCTTTTCTTGTTTTATTTTCGATGGAACCAGGGATTGAACTCAGGACCTTGCACTTGCCAGAGAAGTGCTTATTCCACTGAGCCATCTCCCCAGCCCCCTTTTCTCTTTTTCTTTTTGAGACAAGGTTTCACCCTGTAGTTCAAACCAGCCTTGAACTCATTATGTAGTCCAGGCTGGCCTTGAATTTGTAGTGATACTCCTGCCTCAGCCTCCTGAGTGCTGGGATTACAGGCATGCTTACCCAAGCCTGGGTTCCTCTGCCTATTCTAACCAGCCCCACCCAGGAGGGTTCTCAGACTCCTCGCTGAGTTTCTCCAGGTCTCCCATCAGTCTGTGCCAACCATACTGGCTCAAGCCCCAGCCAGCCCGAGCCCTTTCCTTTCTTTCCACACCCAAGCCTTACCTAGTCCTTCACAGATAAAAGAAAGCCCACACCTCACCTGGCTCAGGGCATCCCTAGGCTGGCTGCAGGGCCGGGGCGTGTGCAGCGCAGCCTGGCGGACTCCTGAGGTAGAGGCTGAGCGCCCCAGACGGTAGCCTCCTGTGAAGTCTACAGCAGAAGAACCAGCGATGAGCAGAGGGGCCTTGGGTGCCCCCCATTCCAGTTCCTTGAGGAGCCCTCCCAGGGGCCAGCCTGCCCATGCCTCATCAGAGGACAGAAGGAGATGGAGGCATGGTATGATTTAGGGCCCTGGACACGGATATTGATAGGCTGTCAGGATAGGCCACGCTGGACCCTGGGAGATGCCCCCAGTCCACCCCATCTCTGTAGGGTGCATATGGGCAGGGCATCACCTCCATTGCGATGGCAGGCAGGGAAGGTCTGGCAGGGTATGGGCAGCGCGGTGCGGCTCCCTCGATCATGGTGGATCCTGGCCAGCAGGCCCTCTGCCCCCTGGCTCCGCACTGGGATCCCCGATGCCATCAGGCCCCTGTCCTCACGCTCCACCTTGCCTGGACCCTCGGAACTGCCATTCCAAGCCCGGGCACCGTCCTCGACCTCTGCTGGGATGACAAGGAGAGCTCAGTGCCTGCATGGGAAGGGGATTTTCCATTCCTCCAGCTATACACAAGTCACAACCCTCTTTCTGCAGTACAGAAGGGACACAGTGTGGCAGGCTACCTTCCCTCCACCCATTGCTACCATTCCCTGTGGTGGAAAGTCATATATACTCATTACTTCCAAACCTCTTTTCCCAGGTCAGAGTGGTAGCCTCTACTAGCTTTAGCTTTTGAGCCCTTCCAGCTCCAGAAGGGCCAGAATGACCTCCTAGAGACCAGAAGTCCTGTTCCCAGTAGGGACAGCATCCCAAATCTGGAGCCCAGAAAGGTGGAGGGGGGCAGCAGGGGGAAGGGCTGCATGTGAACTAAGCTCATCTCTGAGAGTAGGCCTGGCAGAGCATTGCGTTGCCAAGCAACCGTAGGGGCCTCCCTCTCCTTTCCCTCCAGTCTGGATGGGTTGCCATGGTAATAGCTGGGAGGCAGCTGTGTTTAGCTCCTAGTGTGCGCACACTCACAAACACACACCCTTGCAGCCTAGGAAAGGGAGGGGCACGGAATAGAGCAGGACAGGCCTGATTCAAAGTCCGGATCCCAGATCTTCCTGCCCCCTCAACATACACAGCATGCCCCCCACCCTTTCTCTGCTGCCCTTCTCCATCTTTCTGGTCTCCCAGGAAACTCCCTCAGTTGAGGACAATGGGCTATGACTTCTAAGCACTCCTCCCAACATTTCCCCAAAACCACCCCCCGTACCCCCCACATGCCACTGTCTACCCCTCACTCACTGTCCAGCTCCTTTGCCTTTCTCCCTCCATAGAGGACCTTCCTCTGCAGAGCCCAGCCGGCCCCAAATGTTGTCGCACCTATGTCTTCCTCTTCCTCTTCTGGCGTCCCGGCACTGGCGATGACATGGGCACAGGAGATGCTGGCAAAAGCACCCCCGTCAGTCCCTTGCTCCTGTAGCTGGATCTTGACCATGGGGGATGGGGCCCCCACTCCACAGCCCTTATTCAGCACCCCCCCAGCCTTGAGGCTCTCATAGGCAGGGGGTCTCTTGAGTCCAGCTGCTGTGGCTGGGTAGGTCCAGAGGGGGGCCAAGGGGCCTGCAGTTGGGTCCGGAAGGCTGTGAGGGGAGGCCAGGCAGCCACGGTGGTGCAGAACCCCAGCTGCTGTGCCCATAGCCCCGCTATGGGGGCTGGCCTTCCCTGGCACAGGGGGCCTCGAGCTGGCGCATAGCATGCCATGGAGAACTGAGATCTCCTTCTCTGTCTTCGGCTCCCCAACACCTAGGGGTGGGCCAGCTGGAAGGACAGAGTGCGTGGTCACCTTGACTGCTGAGTACACCATGGTGTAAGACACGGCCTTGTCCTTGGGGGGACCGGGGAGCAAGGCAGCTGGGGCAGAGGGGGCTGCCGGCGCCCCCACCACCTTGGGGCAGATCATGCTGTGGGAGTTGGGAAGCTCCCGTTCCCCCCGGGGCTGGCCAGAGCCCTGGGGTGGCAATGGTGTTGAGTGGCTCCGGGCTCTGCCCGATGGTCCCAGCAGCAGCAGGTTGGCGGCAGGAGGCGGAGGCGGCGGGGGTGGCGTCTCCCGCTCTCTTGCAGGCACTTGGGGAGCTGGGGTGGAACCTGTGGGCTCCTTGGAGTGGCAGAGGACCGGTAGCCTCGAGACCCCGTCGCCGGGGGTTCGGGAAGCGGACTTGGCTTGGGGGAAGGCCAGGAGTGGAGGGCGGTGCTGGAGGAGGTTAGGGAAGGGCGGGGGGATTTCACAAGGAGTAGTCTTGGTGGGTGTCCCATCCCTCCGGCTCGGGAGGGCTGAAGCTGGGCGGCGCTGGGGGTGGGGCTGAAGGGCGTGAGGCTGGTGTGGAGGGGAGGTCGAGGTCAGTGGGGTGGCCCCATTGGTGCGGCCTTCTCCTGCCTCTTCGGGCAACGGATACTTCATTTCCTCATAGATGGCCTCACTCTCCTCGGAGTCTGAGTCCGCACCAGCTGGGGGGGTCGGGCCCCCACTCCCAAGGGGGGGCCCTATCAATCCCCCTCCACTTCGGCCTCCTCCCCTGAAGACGTCCCCCACCATCTCGATGTATACGGGCTCTTCCTCCTGGGCGCCTGCATCAAGGTCTCCAGCTACTCTGGAAGGCCTACTCAGGCGCTGCAGGGGCAGGTTCCCTCCTCGAGGAGAGGGTGCCGAGGGGCAGGACTCTTCAAAGGAGACAGACAGTTGGGTGTTGGGGCTTCGCCTGGGCTTCTGCGGAGGGACCTTCCGGCTGGACTCTCGGCCCTCTGGGGTGGGTTTCTGTGAGCCTGGGGGAAGGTGGAGAAGAAAATAATAAATTGGGCTTTTAATGAGGGAGGTAGAGAGAGGCAATCCTTTCTGACCTCTTGACCCCCCTCAGGGACTTAGCTGCGGGTTTATTTTTCCCCACGTCCCTAAACTCACAGCACTGTGAGGTGGTTTTTGCTACCAGACAGTCTTTCTGAGGCTCTCTAGAAACTCTCTAGAAACTCTAGCTCCTGCTCTCAATTCTTTCCTACCCTTCTTGGGTCCCTCCAAGGCCATGACCCCTTTCTCAAGGATGGGCTTTCAGAGAATGTTCCCTGCCTTTCAATGGTGCATCTCAGGTCCATCCAAAGGGACCCCCCATTCCTTTTGGGAATGGAACTTTCCACTTCCTTAGCTCTTCCCTAAATGAACCTTCTGAGAGGCCCCCCTGGTCTGGAATGGATCCTCCCAGCTCCCCATCAGGAGGGATCATGGGTATCTCACCTGCTTTCTTGCTGGGGGGTGTCTCTGCCCCTGATCCTGCCATGCTGAGCTTGGTGCTGGGGTGTCTCCGTGGTTTGGCTGGGGGTCTTCGGGTGCTGCTGTCCTCTGTGAGACCCCCACCGCTACCCCCGGGCCCACCACCCACACTGTCCATGCTGCCCACAGAGTGGCAGGAGAGGGAGCGTGGGGCCATGGCGCTGCGGCAAGGGTGAGGGGTGTGCTCCTGAGAGGCAGGCATCGTCATGAAGCCCATCCTGAGGGAGCGGCGCAGCGAGGTGATGTCCCTCACACGGACCGCAGGCCCTGGGCCAGCCCCGGGCCCCGCAGGGCCTGCAGGGGCCACCTCTTTACTGGAGCTGGAAAAAGAAAACCCAGATGGTACAGAGGTCAGGCTTCAGGCCTGGGCTTCCCCACCTCCACCCCAAGGGATGCTGGTAACTCGGTGCCTCCTGGGAAGGAGCAAGAAAGCCTGGAGTTGTGGGGACACTCGAAGATCTAAGGCAGGGCTTTGAGGTAGACTCCCTGGGCCAGAAAAGGTCAGGCATGGGGGTGGTTGGCAGAAATGAGAAGGTGTCTGTGTGTGTGTGTGCCAGGGAGTGTCACTGGGGCTGGCAGTTCCCAGCCTGGGCACATCTAGCACTGGTATAGGGAACAGTTCGCATGACAGACAAATACACCTGCTGCCATGGCCCTGGGCTCTTCTTAGTCACACTGACCCAGGCCTGGCCACTGGCTTCCCCTCCTGTCAGGCTCCTGTGGCCTCCACCCTCACATGTCTCCTTTCCTAGAAGCGGGGTATGCTGTCTGCATCACCACAGCAGCCTCCTCCTTCCTTTCTCCTCCCTTCCTCCCTCCCCGGCTGTCTTCCCCGGCTCACTCTACTCTTTTTCACTATCCCTGGACTTCTGGGGGGGGGTGGTGGTGGCTGGCGAGGAATAGGGGAGAGCTGCTGTGGGGTGGGCGCTCATTAAGGCCCTGTCTACTAACCTTTCATTAGGGAGAGATCGCTGCAGCAATCGCTCTGATTAATCTAATTAACAACAAGAATTAAACTCCACAGTTGAGAGGAGGGAGAAGGGAGCTGGGAGGTGGTTCTGACTCAGGCTCCAGGAGGCTGTGCAGTCAATGGGAAGTAAGGGAAGAAGGACACAGCCTGAGTCCCTCCAAGGGGAAAGACCAAAAGATCTGGGGGCAGTGAGGTGCCCTGGCCCTGGCTGTTCTGCACATCCCCCACCTCAACACACAGCCATGTCACTCGGTCACTTCCCCAACAGAGGAGACTGGGAGGGGACCATGTGGATGTTCTCTGAGGTCTCTGAAATGATCCTGTCCCCGGACCCTGTGAGGGCAGTAGGGCCTGCCCCTTCCAAGGTCAGGTGACAAGGAGCCAGTAGCCTGTCCCACAAGGACAGAAAGAAGGCCAAAGGCAGGAGTGAGTCAGGAAGGTGTGACTAGAGCCCTGGGGATAGGGAAGAGCCAACAGGGTGCTCCAGAGCTGGAAGCACCCCAGGCAGCCAGGACAGGGGTGGGCCAGGTGTCACTATCCCAGCCATTCTGCCCTGAGCACTGCAGTCTGAGATTAGAGATCCCACTGATGACAAACAGGGGCCGTGACCCAGCAAGGGGCCAGCACACAGGTGGGGCACACATCAGGCCAGCCTGGGGCCATCCTTACCTCCTCTTGGCCTCCTCTTCCTTGTGCTGCCTCCACTCCAGCTTGGTTTTTCGGTAGAGGAGGTTCATGTCGTGGGGCAGGAGGTGGGGGCTGGGGGGCCCTGCTCAGTGCCACCAGGCCCGGGGGGCGGCCCTCCCTGGGTCCCGGATCCACTTGTTAGGGGTCAAGTAAGGAGAAGAGGGAGAGGTGGGGTGGGTGGGGGCCAGGAAAGAATGAAAGAGAAAAAGGAACAGAGACATGACTTGGGTCCTCACAGAAGAAAATAGGCACAGAAAACCCAGCTGCCTCTAGGACCCTCCAGACAGACAGACACAGACTCCCGTACACAGAGCCACACACCCTGACAAAGGTGTTCCGCGCCACACGTACACATGCTGGAGAGATCGACTGACACAGATTCTCATCCTGTGTAAATACAGCCTAGTCTACCGTCCAGACAGGCCCCACAAACACACATTCAGACCACACACCTCTTAGCCCGGATCTACAAACAAGAGCACCAGACACACAGGTGGACAGAGGTGAATGCACACCTAGGAGCAGCAAACACACACAGTCGTAAACACCCACCGACACACCCACAGGCTCACGCGGACCTCCAGACACAGAGATCTGCCCAGAACCGGACACACCTACAGACAAGGAGTTATGCCCAGGGCCTACTTGCGTACATTGCACCCCACTGGGGAAGGGGAGCCTCAGCCTTGTCACCCCTCTTTGGGCCCTAAGACTGGGGGGGGTGTCACAAGGGCAATGTGGAGATGCCGAATGAAAGGTGGAGGCACTGAACTGGGCATCTAAAATTCCACCCATCCATCTAACTCCACTCCCTGGCGTCCCCCCCTCTGGTCCTGGCCTGGGCCTCCGTCCACCCCTATTTCAGTTCCCTGGCCCCTCAGTAATGATGCCCCCTTCTTCTCTCACAGATGGTCGCAATCACCTTCCTTCTCCAGGATTTGAGAGAACCCTGGCTTTGCGTTTCCAGTCCCGCCCCTCCATCCCACCCGGGGGTCTCCAGTCTGGCCCCACAGCTACCTCCTGAGCTGCGGCCTCCATACCTGCTCTGCCTTCCCTTCCCCCAAACACACTCTCCCTTTGCGCCTCGGCTCACTTCTCTTCCCCGGCGCCCCTCCTCATTGCCGGCCTCCCCTGCCCCTGTTTGTTCCAAACCTGGCCTGCTTCATTCCCCACTCCATCCAAGGGCCCAGGTTCCCGGGTACCCCTCCGCTCCCCTTGTCCTGCTGCTCTAGGCTTCTCCGCTCCTCACCCCGCCGCTCATCCCTGCCCCTTGTCCCCCTATCAGCGCCTCCCCGCACCAAGCCCCCCCAATTTCTACATCACCGTACCTGGCCTGCCGGGCGCCGGCCCCCCCATGCCGGGCTCCGCCCGGAGCAGGAGGAGGGAGGAGGAGAGACAGAGAGACCGGGGGGGAGCAGAGCTGGGCCCTGCCGCAGAGACAGCCCCGCCTCCGGGTCCGCCCCCAGACCCGCCCCCGGCCCCAAACCCACCCTTCCACACCCTCCAAGGACGGAGCGCTAGCGGCAGAGCGGCCCTTCGCCGCTGGCCTGGGCGGAGGGCGCCTGGGCCGCGGAACCTAAGGGCCAGATGCGGAGCAAGATCGCGGAGTGCCTGGGGTCTGGCACCGGCCTGCCCTGGCCAAGGGGCGTCCACTGCGCGCCCCCTGCCCGGCCGGGCCACACTGGGCTGGGTCTCTAAGGCCCTGGCCGAGCGGCGCCCCCCAGCGGCAGCCTGGGGTCCGCACCCTTTGCGAACCCCGCGCGCTCCGCGCTCCCTGCTGCGCACCCGGCTCGGGCAGGGGCCGAGGCTGCAGCTGCGGGTCTTGGGGTGTAGTGAGGCGGCGAGGCCGGCAGGGGGGGCCGCCTTCCGGGCCGAGGGGCTCCGAAAGTCGCGAGCGGGACGCTGGCGGCTCTACCCACCAGGGGGCGTTCTCAGTGGCCGCGCCCCCTTCCTCGCTGCCCCCCAGGTGCAGGGAGGGCTGGAGTTGGCAGGCTCGATCGCGGCCTCCTCCTCTGCAGCCACCCAGGCGCCCGGACCTTGTTCCCCCGTCTGGGCTCAAAGTCTTCCGCCTGTCCACCCCCGCAGCCCAAGTCAGCCTCCCCTTAACCTTTGACTCCGCGGGCACCGCCTGCTTGGATGTTGGTGCACCGGGTCTCTGCCTGGGACCCCTGCCGGAGTGCTGTTGCACAGTTACTGAGGGACGTGAGCCCCCCCTCACCGTCGTTTTTTAAATTTTTTTTTTAACACCAGCTCACTGAGAAATTCCTCACTTTGAAATCCTCTTGCGCACAAATTGTGTTAGGATAAGTTAGCTTCAAGAAGACTTCTGTTAAACCCTTAAGTGACTGAAAAATGAATCCTCCAATATATGCACTGCCCAATCTCTGGAGCCTGTGAATGCCACTCCATATGGCAAAGTCTGCAGATGTGCTGTGTGTCCTTAGGAAAATTGCACAACCTCTCTGAGACATGCTTCATCCCTTACCTACCTCAATAACCTCTCTGAATTGGGAAGGAAGTGCTTTGTAAATCAAGGGAACCAACTATTAAAGGCTGCTGTAAATCTTCCCAGGAGAGATAATATACTGAAACACATAAAAGTCTTTTCATTTCACATTAATACCTTGGTCTGAAATAATTTATATGCATTCATTCAACAAACATTTTTGCAGAGACAGATCATGTCCCAGGGACTTTAAACATGGAGAAGTCCACCGTGATGCCAAGTCTCCACAGCAGAGAAGGGGAGGGTGGGACGATTCCTTCTGAAGAGTTTGTAGGAGGCAGCACCAAGAAAGGAGTGGCTGGGGCGGAGTGGTGAGGGCTGCATGAGAGAGTCCTCAGAGAGTATAGGGTTTTGCAGGCGGCAGGAACAGGAGCTGCAGAGGTAGGGTGCATGTCAGAGGCTGCTTCCTGGACCTCATGGCTGAAGGGAGAGACTGAGAAGCAGATGCATTGTAACAAAAAATAAAGACCAAGTATATATATAAAGGGGCCAGAGGATCTATTGTTTTACTTTGGCCTAGACATAGAGTGGAATTTCCATGAGCTAAAACAGAAGGAGCTGGACATGGTGGTGCATACCTGTAATCCCAGCACTCAGGAGGCTGAGGCTGGAGAATTGTTGCGAGTTTGAGACCAGCCTGGGCTATAAAGTGAGCTCAAGGCCAGCCTGAATTGCATAATGAGACCCTGTCTCAAAAAGACCACCCCCCAAAAAAAAACCCCACAAACTCATAAAAACCAGAAGGAGGGGGCTGGGGAGATGGCTCAGTAGAATAAGCGCTTCCCTGGCAAGCGCAAGGGCCTGAGTTCAATACCCAGTTCAGAAAAAAAAAAAAAACAGAAGGAAAGATGCGAGAGAAAGCCCTAGCATAGGACTCCGGACAGTGCCGTGATAGTCCCTCAGGCCATCAAATACTAGCACTGAGGTCTTGGGAAAAAGACTAAGTGTTTCTGCCATCTGTTTCTTCTAAGGGAAACTCACACCCAGCCACCTTTCTTCCTCATGTGATAATGTGAGAAACATTTTTCTTCCCCAGGACTGGAGAGTGAAGCTTTAGCCTCTTACACTGAGCTATATCTTCACCCCCTTAAATTTTTTTTATTAATTTTTTTTGTTAAACTTTGATAAAGGTCTAAGTCCCGAGATTGCCCTTACTGGGACTGAATTTATAATCCTCCTGCCTCAGCCTCCCAGAGAGCTAGCATTACAGGTTTACATCACTACAGCTGGCAGGAACTTTCAACACACCAGTATAGTTCCATTTGACCAAAGTTAGTTAAAATCCATTCATCTCCCTCTGAACTTCAGAGTGAAGGTAGATCCAGCTTGTAGACAGTGCTTTGGCTAAAAGAACCTCCCTCAGAATTTTAGTTAGTTAGGGGCACCAAAAAAGAATAAAACACCAGTTGGAGCTTCACCTCAAACTCGGAGTAAACCCTTCGTAGGTGTTAGTGGGGTTTTCCTTCCTGGGGCCCAAGGGATGGAATGGGAGGGGAGAGAGTTGGAGGTGGGGAGGGAATAGCTGTGCTTGTAGCCCGGAGGGGGTCCTTAGGTGAACCTGTGTGGGCGGCAGTGTGGACATACTTTTGTGTCTAGCTGTTGGAGAGAAGGAGCAAGTCAGCACCTGCTTCTGCAGGTTTGTGTGACCATTTCTATGTGGGGACTGGACAGGGACATTTGAGTGCACGGAATGCCCCTTTTCTACCATGGAGAGCATTTATTTATTTATTTATTTATTTATTTATTTATATTTTCTTAGTACTGGGCATTGAAGCCAGGGCTTTGCATTGAGCTAGCTACCATTCCAGTCGTTATTTATTTTTGAGATAGAGTCTTACTAAGTCTGTAAATTACCTAGGTTGGGCTCAAACTTGCAATCCTCCTGCCTCAGTTTTCTAGAGTGCTGGGATTACAGGCATGTGCAAGCAGGCCTAGCCCCTTTCAGGCTGCCCAGGGCCTCAATTTCTATAACCAATAAGAGAATAATATGCTGTCTGGGATTTGATTTCAAGAACTCCAGGAACTGGGGAGATGGCTCAGTAGAATAAGCGCTTGCCTGGCAAGTGCAAGGGCTTGAGTTCAATCCCCGGTTCCATCAAACAAACAAACGAACAAAAAACCAAATACTTTAGTTTGCCTGGGGCTGGGGAGATGGCTCAGTAGGATAAGCGCTTGACTGGCAAATGCAAGGATCTGAGTTCAATCCCTGGTTTCGCCAAAAAAAAAAAAAAAAGAAAGAAAGAAAGAAAGAAAGAAAGAAAAGAAAAGAACTCCAGCAAAGTCTAAGAAAAAAAAATTGGAGGAGGGGGAGAGGTCAAATAAGATTGGCTCTGAGTAGTTTTTGCAAGTTATATGATGAGTACCTAAGAAGTTCATTGTACTATTTTCTCTACTTCGAAAGTTTTCATAACCATTTATTTATTTATTTGGTACTGGGGTCTGAACTTAGGGCCTTCTAATTGAGCTACAGCCCTAGGCATCCTTTATTTTTCGATTTATTTGAAAGCTAAATCCCTTTTTGGGGGGGCAACAGGCCTCTGGGTGGGCAAAGGGCCCTCACTGCACAGCTTGTTCACTGGCACTGTCTCCAGAGTCCTGAAGCCTCATCACATCTAGAAGCTCCAGCCGGCTAGAGAAGGGCTCAAGGCGCAGGGCCTCAAAGGTGTCATCTGCCCGGAAAGCCAGCTCAACTATGGCTGTGGCCTGTGGCCTTGCTGTCTGGCTGTCAAAGCCACACTTGCCCAATGTTTTGCCATCATCTAGAAGCTGTTCATCCTTGTACAGCCTCTGCCCATGGGGCAGCCACTTGAGGATGCCTTCATGCTGGCTTGAACACCGTGCCTGATGCCTCGGCGTCTGCGGAGATGGTGGTCTTGTGGCACCTGATCATGAGGAACTTGTTCTAGAGGTGACCCACCCTCTTTAATTTTCAGACAGCATCTGGCCAAGTCACTAAGTTGTCCAGGTTGGGCTGGAAGTTCGCAATCCTCCTGCCTCAGCCTCCCAGAGTGCTAGCCTTGAATGTATACACCACCACACCCAGCTTTACTGAATTTTTAAAAGGTGTGTGTGTGTGTGTGTGAGAGAGAGAGAGAGAGAGACAGACAGACACAGACACAGACAGACAGACAGACAGACAGACAGACAGACAGAGACAGAGACAGAGAGACAGACAGAGAAAGGAATTTCCCCATGCATTCACCATATAGACCAGAGACCTCTGACAGTGACAACCACCAGCCTGCACCATAGCATTTACATGGCCCTTAGGGGCAACCCGGCACCCAAGACATTCCTGGTTTGTTCGGTGCAGGCCAATGGCAGCAAGTGCCTACAAGTAAGGGAATCCCTGGTCCGGCGCAGACTCCTCCCCCTGCCCGCCGCCCTCTCCCGCTCCTCCCCGGAGGAAGAGCCCGGCTGAGGCCCAGCAGGTGTGGGGTTAAGGCTGCCTGTTTGGGGCCCCAGCCGTGCAGCAACTGCTACAGCGGCGGCTGTGGCAGGCCTGGCTCGGGGCCAGCTGGCGGGGAGCCCCGGGAGGGAGGAGGGAGGAGGAAGAGGGGAAGGAGGAGGAGGCGGTGGAGAGGAGCAGTGAGCAGGCCCGAGGAGGCAGGACTTCCTGGTGTGGGGGTTGTCAACAGCTCAGAAAGAGAAAGACGGAGACCGAGCCGCAGCGGAGGGAGCCGAGTCGCGGACCGCCAGACCCAGCGCGGCCACTCTGAGCAGCCTTGGGAGACCCTGTCGCCTGGACCGGCTGTCACCTGGAGCAGCGGGGCGCTGAGCCGCCCCCACCGAGCGGTCGGAAGCCCCCGGGCTGCGGAGGCCCGGCGAGCAGGCGCCGGCTCCGTCCCCTCTGCACACAAACTTTCCCAGAGATGCCTCGCGGGGCGCGGCGCAGCCCCCGGAGAGCGACGGGCAGCCTCTGATCGCACTGCCCAGGCCA